TGACGGTAAATGGTTTTGTAATTGATAAACGAATTTGCTAAATTTAGTACTCTATTTGTTGTTTTGATTTTATACTAACATTTACTTCTGTGCCGGTGATATCTTTACTAAGCTAATGTAGTTCATAATTTATTTAACCATTTCAGATAAAGAGAATCTGGTTCCAGAGTCCGATCCGCTAGAAAATTGCGAGTAGATGCTAGATGCTAGATACTTTCTATTTTTTATTATTTTTCTTATTTCTCGTGTTTCTTTCAGAGAATTCATTCCGTAATGTTGTTTAGTACTTTTAAGTTATTGTGTAAGAAATGTAAACCTTAACATTTTATTTTGCTTACGCACTTAAATTATTATATATTTCCTTTTGGATTTCCGAAGTCGTTACAACTTACATGTTATGTGAAAGCAAAAAGGAAAGCAAATCTGGCTGGCTATTAAATGTGATGTAGAGGAAGCTTTTGAAAAACATTGAATGGAATTTTCTCTTTCAAATCTTGAAGAACATGAGTTTTACACCTATAAGTACTTTAATTTATTCATTAATGCATTTCTATAATATCTTATCAATTATTGGTAAATGGTGTATTTATTAATGAGCCTAAACAAGCAAGAGACGGTAGAAAAAGAGGATCCCTATACTTCAAAGTTTTATTCAGATTAATTGATGTATTTGTTACTCAAGGGACTCTTAAAGGCATCAAACTCTCTACTAGACCCTACTTAACATAATCTATTATTTGTAAATGATCTCTTTTGATAAAATTGAAACGTTTATGGTTTGGCTTATTGTTAATGGATATGAATTTATGGTACATTCTATGTTACTGATTGTTTATGAAGTTATGATCTGTATGGTATTATTGTATCTATAGATTATTTTCATAAATTCCAGTATGGTAAGTGAACGATAAATGATTTTATGATTGATAAACGAATTTGCTAAATTTAGTGCTCCATTAGTTGTTTTTATACTAACATTTACTTATGTGCCGGTGATATAATGTGATATCCTTACTAGTGTAACTTATCCTTTATTTAATCATTTCAGATCAAGAGAACTTGATTCCAAAGCCCGATCCGCAAAAAAATTGCGAGTAGATGCTAGATACTTTTTATTTTCTATTATTTTTCTTATTTCTCGTGTTTCTTTCAGAAAATTCATTTTGTAATGTTATTTAGTACTTTTAAGTTATTGTGTAAGAAATGTAAACCTTAACATTTTATTTCGCTTCCGCACTTAAATTATTATATATTTCCTTTTGGATTTCCGAAATCGTTACAACTTATATGTTATGTGAAAGCAAAAAGGAAAGGAAATCTGGCTGGCTATTAAATGTGATGTAGAGGAAGCTTTTGAAAAACATTGAATGGAATTTTCTCTTTCAAATCTTGAAGAACATGGGTTTTACATCTATAAGTACTTTAATTTATTCATTAATGCATTTTTATAATATCTTATCAATTATTGTTAAATGGTGCATCTATTAATGGGCCTAAATAAGAAAGAGGTCGTAGATAAGGGGATCCCTTATCCCCCTTAATTTATTTATCTTATACTCTGAAATTTTGTTCAAATTAACTGATGACTCAGTTACTCAATAGACTCTTAAAGGCATCAAACTCTCTACTAGACCCTACTTAACATAATATATTATTTATAAATAATCTTTTTATATTTAGAGAAGAAACTAAACATGAAATTTAAACACTAATAGATTTTTTAGATACATACTCTACTTTGTTAAATTGAAAGTTCAATACCCATAAATCTTCTATCTCTAATGTCTTATCTCATTTGGAAATGATAAGATTAACTCACAGCCATAATTTTTACCAAAAATCAATGTTCATCATTTACACTTGACTTATGAGTTGAATCGATCTAATAGGTTAGCCACTGCAACACTTCTCTCTCATCAAGAAACACTGAGATGACAACAACATATTGAAATAGACGCAACATTTTGTATTTTGTAAATGCCAACGTGATATGACAATTAGAAATAATCAAACTACCTTAGTAGGTGACTATAATATCAACGAATTTCTATTAAACAGTTTTTCACCATATATCCGCTAACTACCAAAAATGAAGACATCCTCATCTCTCTGAGAATGCCACGTACCCTAAGCTTTATAAAATAGAAGTGATGAATGATTCATGATCAGTTGTATGTTCGTTTATCTCATTCTATGTATACTTCAACTAGACTCTAAAAAAAAAATAATTTTCGAAGTCTATCAATTGATAAACTTTTTAATTCTCATTTTGTTTTATGGGCCTAAAGAAACTAGTTAACTTGTTCATGATTATTTAGCAAAATGTGCATCAAGCATTTCTATTGAAGAATACTCCTGTAAATATTGTTCACTCTTTTTAAAGTTAATATATTAATTATGAACTTGTTCAAAACGGGACATTAACTTTAATATTAATCGTTCACAAAGGTTGTTGAATTTGTTTGTTCTTTTGAGCTTGACTAAATTACTCATGCTTAATATTTAAAATTATTAACTTGTCCAAAAATATTTTGAAATTATAAACTAATAAACAACATTCAATACTTACTAAAATAAAAAAATAACGAAGAATAGTATCGTGTATGTTAGGTTATCATTCTTTGCACAATTTTATTGGCACCTCGGACTAAATTGTTATAGATTTATACATTGGTATTAATAGCTTTATGTACATCTCGCTCAAATTGTACCAACGTATGTGACGATGACAACAAATCGAATTAATTTTGTAAAATTCAAACTCAATTTTGGGTTATTTTATAATAATTTAATTCGACCCGAATTTACAACAAGTTCATTATATTCACGTTCTTATTTGCCTCGGCATCTAATTTTATTTATTTTTTAATTATAACAAAACTAATCGAATATGCACATATAAAATTAATTAAATAATTATATATTTACAATGAAATGATTTTCTCTCATCATTACATGCACGTACATAAAATATCTAAACATATTAAATCATTGAGCATAAAAATAAAATTAGTGCAATAATGTTTATGATAAATAATAAATAAACTCCAAATTAAAATATAATTTTGATTTTCTCGGTCAAATTAAAATAAAAATTGACTGCTAATTTTCCACACGAATGTAATTGTTCTAGAATTCCGTTGACTAATTAAGAAGATTAAATTTAGTTTTTTATTGACTAATTTCGTTGACTAATTTTAAGATTTAAGTTTAGCTTTCATCATGATCACGTTATATATTATATAAAAATAAAATTTTAAAAATTACCAACTCAAATTTTTAAAAGATAAAAAATAAAATTTACGCGACAATTATAATTATATTATTATATAAAAATAAATATAATATGATAATATGTAATAATTATTTATTATTTATTATTAATTACAATTCATATAATTAATTTTTAAGATTCAATTAAATTGTTAATTTTTTTTTATTTATTACAAAAAATAATTATTTTTCTTTTTAAAAAATTAAAAAAAAAAATTGAAAACAATAGTAATAAAGACGGCACGCCGGTTGGATAGAAAGACTGAGACCCACACGTTATTGGCGAAATTTCACTTACTAGTTAGAAAATCAAGTTTCAGTGGCATTAATGTAATATTGAGGAAATGTTAGGGGCATTTATGGGATATAATTATATAAACTATATACCGAACGGTCATTATATAGCACGCAGGAAATTCATTTTGGGAAAACAGGGGACAGTTAAATGACTGCCTGCGCTTTGTTCATGGCGGAGAGAATCTGAAGTTAGCAACTGGAGGCTAAAAAAATAAATAAAAGTAATGAAACTTCTACTTGGAAGAATCAATTAAGGTACGAAATAGTTGATACCCAGTTAATTTTTTGTACCAAAAAGTAATTCTTTTTCTGGTTTTGAAGATGAAGATTTTGATTTCTTTTCTTCTTGGAATTTTCTGTGATTTCTGGGTTATTGGGTATTGTTTTTTGGTTCTGGGTTATGTAGTTCTATGTTGTTTGAATCAAATTTGAGATTCAAGTTGTTTGTTTTTTCGGCCACCGGACATGGGTTTGGTGTAAGGATTTTGTAAATGTTTTTTCTTTTTTTTTTTTTGGGAGTGTGGGGGGAGGGTGGAGGGTGTTAAGGATTTTCTAATAGGGATTTCTTTTTGGTTCTTGTTCTTGATTGATTTTAGTTGTAGAACTTTTTCTTTTTGTTGTTGAGCTCTTTTTTGTGGTCGTTTAGTTCGAAGTGAAACCTATGGTCACTTCGAATGAATTTATGGAGATGAGAATTTTTGTTGTCTGAATTCTCAATTCTTAAAATGAAGGTCGGCTTTTTTTTTTTTTTTTTTTGAATTTGATGTTTCCTGGTTAGCTATTGATAATGGATTTGATTAGTTCATTAGCTTCTGATTAAATCTTTCAAGCTGTTTGTCATCACACAAATCTAGTTGATTCATGAATTTGGTGATTGAATTTTTTACTTATTTCTTTGATTCAATATAAAATCTAAATATATTAATGCTTTAGCATCAATTCCCATGTTCAGTTCTTTGGGTTAGCATGATGGACCCTAACTATTCCTTTTTCCTTCCAAAAAGTTCCTCTTTCCCCCTTTTACCTTTATGTTTCATTTTGTGGGAGAGTCAAAATTTGTGGCAGGCTAATGATTTCTACTTTCGGACACGTTATTAGCATTTAGTTAATGTTCATTGTGTCGATTTTCAGCTGAGGAAGTGGTATATTATTTTGTCAGAGTTAAATTCTTGTAGGATTGAATGAAGGATGTTCTTAATATTCAGGGCCGCTGATTTTGAGATCTATTCAAATTAGTATCAGCATTTTGAATCATTTCCCAGTTTTTAACTAGTTTCTGATGCAAAGACCAGTTGCCTCGTTGAAAACTTTCTCCCTGGTTTCTGTTTGGTAGATAAAATGTTTCTTTATGTAGCTCTATTCATCTGTGGATTTCTTTTCCTTATAATTTTCATTTCGGTGCTATGCAATGTATATGGCTTACCATGTATAGTTGCTCTAGAACCTAAATTTGAACACAATGTTCGGATGCTTATTTGAGTAAAAACAAATGCTTATTTGAGTTACAAAGAATATGGTAGGGAGTCAGGGACACAAGTCTTTCAGCAATTTGCATCGCTTAGGATGAGGTTTTTTCTGAGTGAGTCGTTTTGGTGTATCCAAATATTGAAGCTGCTTAGCTTACAATCATATTATACTCTTTTCTATTCCCACCATACAATTCCCTCTAGTGGTACTAAATATGATATTGTCCTCTTGCTTGTGAGGCCATAGGTTTTGTCTTTCAGTATTTTATCATCTGCTGTTTCAGAATTTGGATCATTATTGATCTGTTATTGAAAACGTCTGACATTGATTTTCCACTTTGATTAAAAACTTTCCTTTCTCCTTAATATCAACGATTTACTAAGTTTGTTTCTTTCTTTTACAGATAAATTGTGATCCTTTTAATACACATATTATACGTAATAAAAGAAGTAGTTGATAGCTGGCGCGAAGAAAGAAATCGATTGGCTGACCAGAAGTAGGCGGACTTGTAACTGCCAATTTGCTTATTGTTATCATGTTGCATTTGTTCAAGTGATCTGCTGAGTTGGATTACTGCTGGTACAGCATCTTAGTAACTAGTTTTAGATGCAAACATCTCAGCAACATCAAAGTTCAGCAGGCATCAATGGCTTGTACCACAAGCCTGTGCAAGACATTCAACCCTATTATTTGCAAAATCTTCAAATTTTAGACAACAATATGTGCTCAGAGTCTGGCAGCCAAGGAACCAGTGTCTCTTTCCAGACATACAAAGAGCAATTCTTTACGCTGGAATCATCTACGACAGCTGCTGGTTTCCTTGGCTATGATTCGCCTTCTGCTGTGAGTGTTTCATCTAGCAAGAGTCCGTTTTCTCCTCAAGGTTCTCATTCATGCCTCTCGGATCCTCATCATTCCTCTGACAATCCTTATGGATCGCCAATCAGTGGGTCTTCCGTGGCTGGTGATGGTGGTAAATTGAAGCACAAGCTGAGGGAATTGGAAATTACGCTGCTTGGTCCTGAATCTGACATTGTTGACACTTGTAACTGCTGCTTCAATAATGGGATCCACCAAGCCAGTTCTATAACAAATTTGAACTGGGAGATGATCCCCATGTTAGACTTGAAGCAGATGCTCGTTCTCTGTGCTCAGAAAGTTTCTGATGGTGATCTTGTGACTGCAGTTGGTCTTATGAATAAGTTGGAGCAAATGGTGTCCGTCTCCGGGGAACCAATCCAACGTTTGGGTGCTTATATGTTGGAAGGGCTTCGAGCAAGGTTGGAATCATCTGGGAGTAATATCTATAGAGCATTGAAGTGCAAAGAACCAACGAGCAAAGAACTAATGTCTTACATGAGTATCCTCTTTCAGATTTGCCCATATTGGAAGTTTGCTTACACATCAGCTAACGTTGTGATTAAGGAAATGATGCAACATGAGCCTCGGATTCACATAATCGATTTTCAGATTGCACAGGGCACCCAGCATATGATGCTAATTAAAGATCTTGCAACACGTCCTGGGGGACCCCCACTTCTCCGGATAACTGGCTTGGATGATTCTCAGTCAAATCATGCCCGAGGTGGAGGACTCCATATCGTGAAGGAAAGGCTTTCTAAGTTTGCTGAGTCGTACAACGTTCCATTTGAGTTTCATGATGCCACCATGTATGATTGTGAGGTTGAGTTGGAACATCTTAAAGTCCAACCTGGGTACGCATTGGCTGTGAATTTTCCTTACGTGTTGCATCACATGCCAGATGAGAGTGTCAGCATTTGGAATCACAGAGACCGGCTCTTGAGGCTGGTTAAGAGTCTATCACCCAAGGTTGTGACTCTTGTTGAGCAAGAATCCAACACTAACACTTCCCCTTTTTTCTCAAGATTCCTAGAGACATTAGATTATTATGCTGCAATGTTTGAGTCAATCGACGGTGGTTGCCCAAGAGATGACAAGCAGAGGATCAGCGCAGAGCAGCATTGCGTGGCTAGGGACATAGTTAACATGATAGCTTGCGAGGGACCTGAGAGAATAGAACGACATGAACTACTCGGAAAATGGAGGTCAAGATTTATGATGGCGGGATTTAGTCCTTGCCCATTGAGTCCCTCAGTGAGATATTCAGCGGGAGAAGTACTGAAGGATTTCGATAAGAATTATGCCCTGGAAGTTAGGGATGGAGCTCTTTACCTTAAATGGAAGATGAGAGGTATGGCAACCTCTTCTGCCTGGAGGTGAAAATACACACAAAGCGAGTCTACCCTGTAGGATCTCTAACTTTTAGTGCCGTGAGCTTTTGGGATACATGTAACTTCATAGGATCAATACTATATATATATATATATTTCTCTTTCTCCTATATGCAATGTAAGATATAGGCAAGGATTTTTCATCCCAGAATTTCAGTGTACATGTTCAATGAAGAAACTTCTGCTTTCTTACCAGAGAAGAAAAAGAGAATTAGTACACTGCATTTCATCATTTTGTGACCTTGTGCCTGTCTTTTTCAGTATTGAATAATGTCTTTCAAACTTTATTGACTGTCAGAAGAAAGTAAACCCGATTTCGAACAAAAATCTCTCGTATAAATTGTATTTTACT